GGGTTCGAGCCCCGGCCGGACCGATACTCATGGTCTTAAAATAAGTGAGGAGAATTTGCTACCTTTCTATAATCAAGAAATGGATAGATATTCTAGTCTTCTCGGATAAGGACGAATAAACCGTAGGCCCCGTCTCCTGCAGGGTTAGGGGTAGAAGACGTTAGTTTCCAACGCACGAGATTAATGTGATGTGGAGATTAATGTGATGGGTGGGCCCTCAAAAGCCCCCATGGGGAGTGGTCAACTAACGTATGTACGGATGTATGTATAAGTAAGCTACAATTCCTCCTCCTTCTTTCTTTCTATCATTAGCGCATAACCAGGGATAGTAAATTGGCTGTTCGGGTAAGAAGAGTCAGTTTTAGATTCGTTAACAATCATAATTAAATTGAGATTTAGAGTCTTTTATTAAGCATGCGAGTTCCTCCAACTTATATTGAATGCTGTTGATGTTTAGATGAAACAACAAGATCTCTCTTTTGTATATATATATATATCTTTCTGCAATCATGACATTATTCAGAGCATTGTTCAAATCAACTTGCGACTCCCAAGGGATATCGCTTTCATGTCGAGAATTAGGATATAACTCAGAAACAGTATTATTGCTCCATTCTAGCGAATTATTTCCATCATTTACAAGTTCGCTGGCAAGTTCAATGTTACCCAAATCACAAAAGGGCAGTTCAGAGAATAGATCACATCCCGGGAACCTCCATGAAGCCAATCTCCTTGAGATTATTTGGAGAAATTGACACGGTCGCACATTACCGCATTTGATTTGCATTAAGCGAGCACAGAAAGAAAAATGAGGGACTGGGTACCTCTTGACTGACTGGCAACCAACAATAATCTCTCGCCGAGTCATTATGTGGATAGAAGCACGAAGAGGACTAACTAGCTAACTAACTATTGATTAACTCTGGGCTTATATAGACTTAGAAAGGTTAGATGTGGTGGTATCTGGGAGAGCAGAATGCTTGTTATTTCTTAGAACATTGAGTTACCCACTATTTTACCCTAAAAGGACAACGGAACGTGCAAAATATGCCACGGTCATACTCTGCAGAACAGGGCACAAATACGGACGTAAAGTAGAGGAACACAATGGCTGCGTTGAAAAATTCAATCTTTGATATTTTTTATCTTCTCTGCACGATTTATTCGGTCGGTAATTGACTACCAACCCAATGACAGGTCCCACGAATGGCAGCTACGTTGAATTATTCAGACAAAAAAATATATTTTCCAAACATTTGGTAACTTTTTTTATTTCTCATTATTTCACTAAAGTACATCCAGTTGCAAATGATTTAGAAAGGCTATCACGACTGCAATGGGAACTTACAGTGTAGGACTAATTTGTGGTATGAGACTAAATACCAATTTATTGATACCTCTCAAGTACTTCTAACACGACTACTCACAAAGAAAGACCAAGTAAAAAATAGCAAAGACTGATATCGGACATGAATACACTTTAAACGTTGGCAAGCGTTGCTAACCCTACGCCGTGTTTGTTATTTGCATTTCAAAAATTGATCATTTTCTTCAAAATTTATTATTGATTAATATTTTCACCCTTAAGCGGGTTAAATAACGTCAAAAAAATTTTACATCCTAATTTGTTCGGAAAAAAATTGTGTACGAGTTCAGGAACTATGACTACCAATACCCCTTTCATTTCAAAACAAGAAACAAAATCGTTGCGGGTGAAATCAGTAGTATATTTGTGGTGACTCTATTTTACTTGGCCTATGAGCAAAACGGACATCGTATTGTTTTCACTGATAACTTTAGTCAGCACCACAATATCGCAAGTGACACGGATGCTCAGGAGGCGTCCCGCTGATGTTATACACAAAATATCCATTGCAATTTCTTACTTGGATGTTGATGGACCAGTGACAGCATTCCGCTGACCAATGAAAACAGACCTGCCTTGTGACTATACCCTCGCTCATGGTAGGATGAGTCCCGTTCAACCAGCCAGTGCTAGAAGCTCCACAGCGGTAAACTGGGACACATGTGGCAGCCATTTTATTTCCGGCTGCTCCCTGGAAACGAAACCAATTTGGACCGAGTGAACTGTCGCATTCTGAAATAACTTCGGAGTAAGTTTCTTTCCTGTTAGCATTTGAAAGACTTGCAGGATTCTGGCATTCTGGGGAAGAGAACAGTCAAAACATTGATATCAACGCTACCTCATTATTGTTTGTGTTAATTTATTTTTTGTATCTTTCCATTTTTGACAGTCCAACTTGTATTTAACGAATGACTTTTGTAATGCTCTTTACGTATTTTAATCGCTTAGACATTCAGTCCGGAATGGCTGAAAATCTTCTTTTAGATGGGGCCGGGTTAATGATATAAAGAGTGAGCCGTGAGTATTTATTCGTTTAGATATTCATACTTTATTTTTCAAAGAAAATATGATAACTAATTTTTTATACGAAATAAGATTCAAAGCTCTTTTCCACACACATGATTGGAGGAGAAAATGTCACAGTAATAGGATAATGAACCAGTAAAATGCATAATACAAGAAGTTTTTCAGCCATTCCGGGCTGATTGTTGAAGCTATCATACATTTTGTTCATTATCCTATTACTGTGACATTTTCTCCTCCGATCATGTGCGTTGAAAAGAGCTTTGAATCTTATTTTGTAGAAAAAGTTATCTAATGTATTTTATTTAAAAAATAAAGCATAGACGAATAAATGCTCACGACTCACTCATATAAATCATTAACCCGCCCCCGTGCAAAAATGAAGAGGAACTGTCCTGTAGCAACTCGACTCAGACGAAAAAATCTGAAATAGTAATATTATTGTAAGTCGTATCCTTTCATATTACTTGTAAGAAAAAAAATCAAACTGACCGAGTGACTGCACATTGCAACTTGTACTTCCGTCTCCTACGTAATCATGGTTACAAGAACAGTTGTAAGAGCCAATAGTGTTTATGCATGTGGCTGTTCCATTGAGACAACTGTGAACACCAACTGAACATTCATCAATATCTGTGAAATATAAAAAGGCAACTGTCTATGGTGTACACTTCCTGTAAATCATTTCTACGTGTAGGTTTAACACTTTTGTCATCAGTGCTCCTCAAGCAAAACAAAGAGACTGATATTAAACTGGTTTTGATAAGTCTAAACACAGAAAAAATTCTTTCCATAAAGGAGTCAAAAGAAATTGTTTTAAAATTGATTTAAGATAATTTTACAATGAGTAAAAAGCTGTAGGAACAAAAAGTTTTAACGGTCAAAAGTTTCCTTGTATCTACTCCTGTTAATAGTGAAACACTTTTACCGTTTGAGCCATTTTTACGGTATCAATACGAAATCAATATGGATACAAAACTGCTTTTTGCCATGACAGATAAGTGTAGATAGTGCTTAGCTTGATTCAAACATTATGTCCCGGATGATCAAACTATGTCAGAATTGATAGGGTTCAACTTAAATTTGAGACCGCCTTGATGAGGAAATATGGCGGGGGATAGTAGCAATTTATTGTATCAACCTCGTATTTCAGGCTTGCATGATGCCTATACAAAAAATATGGACGAAAAAGACCAGTAAACTAAATGATGAGATTCACACGTCAAGAGCTGACTCGAAAAGTATAGCACCAGAGATGGAAATGGGTACATAATGTACCCTACAGAATATCAACAACTCTGTGAAGAGTCATCTTCGAATGGAACAGAGAAAGCAGAGAGTTAGATGAAGAACAAAGTCAGGAGATGAAGCTAACTTGTAGAAGAAGCAGCCTATAAAAAAGACAGCGGTGCTCTCTGGCAGGGAAGCCTTGTGACTGCCACACACAAAATTAAATAAGTTCAAAAGTAATCTGTAAATATTTTCCTCACCAACACATTCTTTTCCACTTTTAGTGTAGCCAAAATGGCAGGAACAGCCATAAGAGCCGTTAGTATTTGTGCAGTTTGCATTAGGGCCACAAATATGGATGTCACCACTGCATTCGTCAATATCTGATAAGGTAAATTGCAAAGACATTACAGACTTTCCATGTTACATCGGGTAATTTAGAGAGAGTACACTCTCACCATGAAAACATTTGCAAATTTATTCAGGGAGCACCTTTGAGACTTCGAGACAAATGCAAAGATTTTGGCATCATTTTTTTTTTCTAATAGCTCTTGCTTCTTTTAGATAGAGGTGCCTCCTGAACAGAGACGCCTAAAACGGGAGGTTTCAATTTATTTTTTTTTCCAGTAGCTCTTGCTTCTTTTTGATAGTCAATCGAGAATGTTACGTGTGTTTATTTGTTTGGTCTTTTTTTCTTTTTTTTCTTTTTACGTTTGATTAGTATTGTGTTTTTAGCTATAAAAGAAATATCAGGGTTACGATTTAAATTGACGAGGTCCTCACATTAAAAATTTTATCATGTCAACCTATCCTTATCTTGTTCCGTATACAATGTGTTTAACTCGGTTTGAGCATCTCACAAACCTCATGTTATTCATCCTCCTTTCGTATAATAAGCAAATGAAGAAGCCTTGACCGTGCTCTGTTCTGTTGTAAAGCAGGCAAGAAGCGGCTAGAGCATAAAAGAAGAGTAAGGGGTGGAAGTGAGACATAGACAAGTGTTTCTCCATACTTCTTTACTGATCTAAACGTTTCCTAAGTGCTGTACAACAGAGCAGAGCGCAGTCCAGGCTACGTTATATGTTTTATAATAAAGAATCCGTGTTTCAGTTTTACCAGGGAACGTTAGCTTACAATCTAACTGAGCGTAAAAACCTTCTAGGGCTCTGACAGTCCATGTCGCTTTCTCTTTAGTCATTTTCGTCAATAACATCAATTACGGCGCTTGGCATGTTTAGAAACCTTTTTTTGGCTCATCTGTTGCTACTTGCATGCTCGCTTGTTCCGAAATTTCACTTACAATGAACGAAAAAAACTTAGAGAAAATTCCGGAAAATAGTCGAACATTGCACAAATTGCATATTGCCTGATGGCTTTACCTCAACTCCAAACTTTACCAATGAAAAGGTGAAACGTTTTTCCCACTTACTGTAATTGAACTCCAGTTTGCCTTCGCAAGAGTAGCTGGGTTTTGGTGCGTACGATACACTCGTCCATATCTAGACCCACACACATTTTAATAACTTTCATGTACCTTAATGTTTTCTCACCAAATATTGTCTAGACTATCACGTATCATCAACGTTGAACAGAGATCTATACTGACAATACTGAGATGGATACATTTTGCAGTGAATTTTAAATAAAAACAAATTCACCATTGGTTAATGGTTAGCGTGCGTGTATCGTGATATGGATGCACGCGGGATGTTTTGAGAGAACAGGCGAAGCATTCGTCATGTTTTGGCAAACATAAAAAAACCAGCTCGAGGATTCTGAATCTGTTGATTCCGATGCTTAGAAACCTTAGATGGACAAATGTTACCTGTGCAAATCCTGCCATCGCCATCAAACCCAACCTTGCAGCTGCAGTTAAAAGAACCTTCGGTATTGTTGCACTCAGCGTTGACATCACATTTGTGGGTATTGGTGAGACATTCATCTATATCTGAACAAATATTGAAGTTAGTTTTAAATTAAATAAACTAGCAATGAACAATGTTCAAAAGTAACAAGTAAACGTGATTTTCAAGTCACCGGTGCAATTTTCACCGTCACCATCAAATCCATCTTCGCAGCTGCAGTGAAAGGAACCTTCAGTATTTATGCACCGAACATTCACACCACACTTGTGGGTATTGGTCGCACATTCGTCTACATCTTAACAAGAGAGAAAAATATTTAATAAAAAGTGCAATTGTTTATTTGTTAACAAATTGAATCATTTCAAGAGCAACAAAAGTTAATTAGCCAGCGCAAGGAAGGCTTCTTTTAGGCAAATCCACAAGAAAAGACACGAGTTTTCTTAGATAGAAATAGGGCACGAGACGTAACGTAATACCAAGAATGATTGCAGGATGAAAATATAATGGTGCTAAAAAAAAACATTGTAAACTTAACAAACCTCCAAACACAAAGAGAGTATTGCAACCAAAACTAAGAGGACGCAATTTGCCGTCCACGACTCCTAAATCATTCGAGTTGAAACCGGACTCAAGTAGCACTCGAGACAAGAGACGCGTGATGAAGTGCACACTTTGACGGATGCAAAGCGCGATAAACGACACTGTTACAGCCGACTGATCCCTCTAAATTACTATACATAGCTTTGGTGTGAAAATCGTTGATGTTGTTCATACACTCGTCAAGTTTTTAGCAAATATATATAAAGAAAAAACCTAGGATTATGGATCTACTGATTTCGATGCATGGAATAATTTAGATGAACAAATTTCATAGTTACCTCTGCACCTTTTGCCATCGCCATCAAACCCAACCTTGCAGCTGCAGTTCAAAGAACCTTCGGTATTGTTGCACTCAGCATTGACGTCACATTTGTGAGTTTTGGTGGTACACTGGTCTACGTCTGTAGAAACAAATTCTTTCCGTTGATAGTGAACTTAGAAAGAAATAATAAATGATAAAAGCTTTTTGTAGGTAAGAGAGATCAGAGAAAAATAGATGCAAAAGAGAAGCATAATAGTAGCAAACTAACTCTTGCCTTTTTCACATTGTTCTCCCGTGTAACCAGGTGGACACACACACTTGTATCCCTTGTTTGTAAATCCAACCAGGCAAGTTGCATTGTTGTAGCAGATGTTGAAGCAGCACTTGTTCTGATGGGGAAAGATGTTCAGCCTTATTTTTCATACAATAACGGAGATGCTATTCATCCAAGCCATTTGTAATTTTGATCCATACCGGGCATACTTGGAATTTTTGTTTTTTCGCTTATCAAATAAAGAATTCCCGACTGTTCTCTCTTGTGTTGTAAAGTCGCAGGAAGCGGCTAGAGGACGAAAGAAGTAAAGCGGGAGAAACGAGACCTTCTCCCTTCTTGATACCCTGATAAAGCACACTGTCTCAGCCAGTCAGAGCGCAAGTAATATAGAAACTTTGTTTTAGTTTATTTATTTAC